CATAAATAAATGTTCGTACATGTATCACTTCATTATAATACTTCACTGGATATTATATTGGATCAAATAAACTTTTATCGTATATACAGGCGCAGTCTTTAGAGAAAAGTAAAATACGCTTTCATACAGTAATAGATTCCATTATATAGCAGTATAACTTCCAATGAATAAACGAAATGGGAAAGCCCGAGTCTTTTTCTAAGAGAAATGCAAATCTTTTTTTTACATCGGCTTACGTCACCCTCACTCTATAAAAAATTTGTGGCCAGTAAGAATGAATTTTCTGTTATTAATCATCTGCCAGTGTTCACTTTCCGAGATATTTGGATAGCCCAATATGCTCTTTGACCAGAGAGCGCCTTCGTAGTAGCACACTTTGCACGCGGTTCGAGAACAAATGGAGTGTTTTACGAAAGACAAAATAACAAACTACGCTAGCTGAAACCGCACATTTCCCTTAAAACTGTGATAACACTGGTGAATTGCCGCGTGTTCGGAGCCTCGAAATGAAACAGCAATCTTACTGTAGTATTGTTATTAGAGGAGGTGTCTGACTTTGTGCGTTCTATCGTTCACCTCTTCCTTCAATTAACCAATCAATCAAACCATTAATTAAACCCGATATAGGGAGACCGAGACTGAGCTAAAAATAGCTATACTCCTCCTGTCCAGTCAGCCCACGATCTTTACATTGCCAGTGGAATAATGCCTTCCTCGAGAGCTGCTTTCATTTTTTTCTCCACAGGTCTAATTAGGTGTTCTGTATCGGTCCTAATGTAATACTCTTTGTAACGCTGTTGTTACATTTTTCTATATTGCTGCAGTTTCTGTTGCATTGCTCGTTCGACAGCGACTTTGTGATGAGTGTTTGTGTCTTCCCTTGATAACATGATATTTCCTACTTGTTTAGTAGGAGATATAGCCGACATTAAAGCAATATCAGTCGAATTATTTAAAAAAAAAATACATCTTAGCCTTCAGGTGTTTCAGTTTTAGTTATGTTATTATGTTCACAATACCCGGACGCTCGTCCGTCAATCTTTCCCTGTTTCTTGTCGCTTTTTTCTGCCTAGGAACAGATAGACAAACCGCCCTACTCTTCTGTTGTTACAGCTTGTTACGGAACCGCAAGCAGGCGTACCATACTGGCAGTCCACAAATCACAACAAACCATTATCGATACTTCGGTTACACTTTTGGATACTGTCTTTGAAAGCAATTATGGAGTGAATGCTTTTTATGTATCTCTCTGTCTCTCTCTCTCTCTCTCTCGCTCTCTCCATCATCTACATCTGTTCAAATGTCCCAACTGCATTGTTATTTCAATAGTTTTTGTAGTGTTCTTTTGTCGTCGTTGTGATGAATATGATCCGTCTTATCATCGTGTTTTGCCTTGCATCTTTTGTCTGTGTCATACTCCGTCGTCATCATCATCACCATGTTGCCAATTATTTCGTGCTGCTATTAGTAATAATAATATGAATAGTAACCATTATAATAATAGTAGTAATATTAATTCATATTTATTTTTATAATAATAATAATATCAGTTATTATTATTATCATTATAAGTAATCATCATTTATCGTGACAATTATTAGAATAACACGAATGCACATTTGCTTCTCTGTCTCTTTCGCTTTCTTATGTTCTCATCAGTTCTTTTCTATTTTTGTTTATGCTGTTTTTGATGATAGACGCAATAATTACGACAAACAAACGGTCTTCTTCGCCGTTGTCCGCGCTATGTCACTACCGCGATATTTTCGTCTGCTGCAGCTGTTTGGGCCTCGTTTTTTCTCGTTTTTTTTTCGACACGGGTCGACAAGCAACCTTCGATGCCGACTGCGTCTAGACTGCTTCGGCGATGTTGCTACTCCAACCCGTGAATGTTGCTGCAGCAGAGCTCGTATATCACACGGGCCGTCGTCCACAGAACGGCAGAATATTTACAAAAATGCCCTCAAAAATAACAGCCTGTGCCCTTTTTGTTGCCCTGTTCCATTTCTTCCTCCTATCCTTCACCAGAATTCGATTTCGCCTATTTTCACTGTTAGGTTTTTTCTGATGCTGTTTGTTTGTAAGTAAACGCCCAGCTTTTCGTCCCCCTTTGCTCTTTCTCCTTTTTTAACCATTCATTTTCCTCTACCCACTGGCACTTTTTACTTCAACGAATATATCCGCGTAATGTTTGCTTCTGCTCTCAACCTCGAGCCCTAATTTTTTCCCGTGCGGACTGAACTGTCTGTCACACTAAACATTTTACCGTCTTCATTAGCTTTCTTGTCTAGCAGGGTATCTGACAAGGATATCTAGTACCGTATATATATAATTCATACACTGGTTTTGCCACCGATCACTTCGTCTTTCTTCCGCTCTACACATAATCTTCATAAATTCTTTTATACACATTAATATATAGCGGAAATAGCTGAATCGGCTCAAATGAACGCAAGCCCGGCTGCCCACTCCCTGTTTAGTTTTTGTGAACTTCTCATATCACTCCTTTGTTTTTCTATATCTCAATAATACATATACATACATATCCTAAATAATAATAATAGTAGTAATATTTAATGATTTATTAACCACGTACATGCCAGCTCTGTATATACCCAACGTACAGATAAGACTATCTCGCAGTTTCACCTCTGTGTTTACTTCTTTTGTTACCGAATTTAACTGCAGTTAATTTTCACTTTTTTACCACTTTCCCGCAGTTTTTTCCGAACTAGGAATTCACTGTGAAAATACCTGATTAATAAACTTTCAGAAGCCAACACCCTTTGAAGGTATCATTAATAATTATTTTAATTTTGTACCACATTCGTTTGACTTTCCATTCTAAAACATGTGTTTTCTTTGAATAGAGACGAACGAGGATATCAAAACAGTGCGGCTCCATCGCATTCTGTTTTTTCTCCTTATGTTAATTTTTATTTTTCTGCTTCTGCTGCAGTTGCTGCCATATGTTATTTTTATATTCTAATTATAATGTCTTTATTCATATCATCACTGATTATCATAATATCATCCTATTATTATTATAGTCAACGGCTTCGCCTTCGACCCCATATGTAATTTTCGCGCGTTGTGTGCTGGCTTTTCTAATATTTTCGTCTGCCATGCGCATGTTTGTGTGTTTATATGTTTGTAAGTACAACAGACTGCTATGTACAGTGATTAAGAAGGTTTATGGTGTTATGTACATTGCAATGTTTCGGTGTACATGAGCCGACGCATCTCAGACGGGTGTGCAGGCTCGCACTTGATCGCGTTTTTCTATTCAATCAACCCGTCGCTCAAAGACTTTTCGATTTATGTTTTGCCATATACCTCATCATACATTCTGCGGATAAACTCAGCGGGCAAGCCGATTGAAGGCATGTTGTGTTGAACCCCAAGTCTTCTAATCCGTCAATGTTCCGGTTTAGTTTGTTGTCGTTACTGTTCATCATCGTCGTTTTTCATCCCGTTCTACGTTAATCTGACTGTACCACATCTTCCTCTGTGCTCCACTCTGCGTTGGCCAACTCTTCAAGAAGATCCGGATCGGGACTTTTGTCATTGTCAAGCCATCTAGGCAATGGAGGATTGCCAGTGTCTACCTTGCCAGCGACATCGTTACCGCCGATAACGGGACTGGACCTTGTCCTCGGTGCCAGCTTTTGGCTGTCAAGTTGTTTTCTGACTTTGGACAGCTCGAAAGCCTGGATTGCCCCAAGGTCCAATTCGCCGGTAGATTGCTTTTTCACTCCGCCGCGGGTGTCGGGCGAAGCTACCGGCGTCAATCCTTCTGGCGTACCACCAGTTCTTAGGTTCGACACGAGTCTCTGATGTTTTTGTCGACCGTGGCGTCCGGTTGAGTCATGCGTCCTCTTGTTATTCTCAGCCTGCACTGGCGGCTGTAATTCAACGTCCTCCTTGTCATCCGCGAAAACAGCGCCGTCCTGTAAGCTACTATCGGTCTTATCGTCCTTGTCGCCGCCCGTAGCTGTTTGCATCTCGTCGTCCGATTGGACCGAGTTCTCATTCTGCATTCGTTCCCAGTCTGCGTCAGATAATGGAAACTGACGTGGCGCGTAAGGTGTCGGCGCAGACGAACTCTGTAGCATCGTCCAGTCTTGCGACAGCGATCTATGTGACAATAAATATCAGCAAACAAAACGAACATGCCAGAATGTACAAATGCGAAGTTAATTTTAGTATGTCGTCAGCGGGCAGTAGGATTAAACAGTTGAGTACTCAAAGCCATATTGTTCGAAACTCTTATAAACCGCATGTTAATGAGGTATGTTTGGTCAAAGCGCGAATATCTTACCGGTGTTGTCGCTTGGCCTTTGTCGAATGGCTGTTGGAGACCGTGTCTTCTTTGACCTTGCCACCTGCGGCCGGCGTTAATAGTCCCCGGTCGGAGCCGCCAGGTGTAGCCGACTCATCGAGTTCTTTCACTTTTGACGAAGCTCCGCTGCTAGAAAACTCCTTCGATCGGGACCCGCCGCCAGTGCTCGAGCCATTATTGTTTTCCGTAGAGCTATCGGTGCGAGCGCGTCGCGAGTTGGCGCCAGCGGAAACGGACGTAGCTGATGATGATGGGCCACCCTGGTGACTCAGTTTAGGCTTCAGGTACGCCGAGAAACGTTCACGCTCAAGGGCTTCTTGGCGAGCGTGTCGTACCTGCAATGCCGCGTCGCTGATGTCTTCCACGTCGACGACGTCGTCGTCGTCTCCGCCGTCGTACGCCAGCTCGCCGCTCTCTACACCGATACGGCCGTCCTGCAGATAGTAGTAAATTTGTTAGGGTAATACAGCGGTGACGCGCTTGCTTACTAAACTTCTAAGCATACGAACGATGAGTTCCAATCTTAAATTAAGCACGGAAATCGAAGCGTTTACCTAGCCAATGACATATCTGTTAGTTCATCTCATACTGCACGAATGAACCAATTCATAGAGAACGATTTAAATTCAAAATTTTTTCGAACAATAAAAATCACAGGCTTTTCCACGAGTTTGCCATTAACTGTAGGCCTCGTTTGATGCAGCTTATATAGAAGTTTGTTGTCGGTCGCGTACACACGCTACGAACAAATTTGTATAATCTTACATGTTAATAAGATTGTATTATGTACGTACCTTATGACGATTGCCTGCTGACTGTTCTCCTTCGTGTGCGCTTCTGGATGAATTTGTCTCGGATCTGTTACTTGTTGGTGCTGAGGCGGCGTGGTCATTAGTTCGTTCTGGAAGCGGTGACATAACAGCGCCTCCTCCTACTTTTATTGCGCTTGATTCTTCTGGAGGGATGTGCACAAGACGCCATTTTGGTGTAAGGATTTCCTTGTATTTCAGTCGTTCAACGAGACGCGTACAGCTCATCATACCGTACGGAATAATATTGTCAATATCGTAGCTACTCTCCTGTTGGCTGACGTAGGATGCTGAAAATAGCCAAGAGAGGAGCATGTACATTCGCAATGACTGGACGAACAATCACACTTTTCCCAGGTATTTCTTTAGATAATATGGCGTACAATGTCGACTTCTCTCAACGCCACATGCGGCCTGATCGTACGTGGTCTTGAAAAAACTTAATCTGTTCCAAATACATCCGAATGAATCATAAACCAGGTGAATTCTGAAAGAAAAATTTTGATTTTACCTGTTGATGAGCATACGAACACTTACTTTTTCGAGGCCGATTAGGATGCGAGTTGTTGCGCTCAGCATTCGTGTCAGTAATCGTCTCTTCATCGGCCAACTCCTGGCTATCCACTGAATTGCTACGCCGAGCCACCGAAGCTAACGATGCCAATCGACTTCTATCCGAACGCCTCTTTTTCGAAACGGGCGGTTCTGTTGCCGTTGGACGAGTGGTGTTCCCGCTGGCTCCAGTTGATTTTCGTTCGTTTTCTGCAACGAAGACGTAAAATTATTGATTATTGAAGTGCATTGCGTGTGAGCGGCAGTAGTAAAATGAACGCCTAAAAATGCACCCCTTGAGAAGCCATACACAACTGCAAGAAAATAGCACTATTTCAGCACGCATAAGTAAATCTCTCGCACCAATTATACTTACTGTTGGCTCGGGACGCGGCATGCGAGCTGTGACGTTTCCGTTTCGGGGCCGAAGGCGATGTCTCATCCCCTTTACTGGCGCCGGCACTTGATGCACCGCTTGTTAATCCACCAGCTTGTCCGCTACCGGTATTGGCACCATCCTCACGCAATGCCGACTCCTTCCGGCGGCCAGCCGCTACCGCTTCCACAATTGCCTCAGCGGTACCTCCAGATCCCGTATGGCTAGGCGCATAGGCATTCTTATACAGGACACTGCTGTAACCAGCGCGCAGTAGGCTTTCGTAGTGCATGCTCAGCGATACGTCCTCACGACCTGATAGCACCCCATGAAAAGGCTCATCGTAGCCAGCCAATCGCGAACCCTCGCTCTGCCGTTCTCCACTTGGCGTGCTCAATAGCTGACGAGCCAGCTGTGCCTCGTGAGCAGCGGCACTCGCAAGTCCAACATGGTGTGACCCGTGAGGCAGCGAGTGAGCACTGCCGCTGGCTCCGCCGACATTGCCAGCTCCTCCAGAGCCCACTCCAGAGTGTAACTGAACTGGCCGTTGCTCTTCACAGAGCTCCAGGCGTTCGCGTCTTGACTGTGCGTGAAGTAATGAACAACGTACACACAGCTCAAGTCGGGGGTAGAATGCCGCACAGTCGCATGATGGCTGAAGTGCGTCCATTGGCACGGATTCGGCAGCTTGAGAGGATACACGTTGTGCTAGCACCAGACGCCGCTTGCGGAAGTTGTCGTTGAGAGGCACTGAACGTGCACACTGGCCTTCACTAGTTAATGTTGTTGACGTTGCAGTCCCGGCGGAAAGCTGGGGGCTAGGGCTGCTGCTGGCGCTGGCAGAACCTGCCGCAACAGCAGCAGACGATGATGACGACTCATGTGACGAATGTTGTCGCGAATACTGAAGGCAAGGCTGTTTCGATGTCCTCAACTGACGGCATAATTCGTGCTGTTGCCGAATCCGGTACTCGAGTTCAGAGACCTGCGCCTGCAACCAGGTCCAGCGAGCGCCCATAGCCGCGCGTTGCGCGGCCCAGCGCCACGCTGGGTGACGTGGTGCCGCGGAAGCGTCCCTCGTCGCGTACCGAAACGGTGTCAGCTTTTGTTTGCCATTGAAGAAGTCCACTTTCGTTGGCATGTCCTCCTCTTCCGACGAACTCTCTGTCGCCGATGAGTCGCACAATTTTTCCGAGATGCTAATCACCGCCGAATGGATACCGCAACGGCGAGTTACACGTGAACGATCCTGTTCACTAAGGTGTCGACCTACGTTTGTGCCAGCCTTCTCTTCTGTGGAACCCCGAGACGATATCACGAAGCATACAAAAACTGGATTAAGATAAGCAGTTGAAGTAGTCTCATCATTTTACTGCTCTAAATCGGGCTAATATCTATATATACTTACCGGCAGAACCGAACGCTCTACTGCTAATAACAAATAATTATTAGCACAATAGAAGCTATGCCATAACTGCTCACAATAGAACATATATGGTCTATACATTTACCTTTCTGTGCCATCTGTGCTGCTAATTGACCACTCTTGCTCATCAGACATGGCATACGAAAGATTTCCTGTCCTCGAGCGACCACTTCCTTCAGCTCGGAGTAAGCCACCTCTACCCCGCTTTTTGTCTGAACCCGATGCACCCGCTGGCTGAGCTGATGATGTCTCCGGCGCAGCTGGTCGAGGCGCCGCTGCAGTGCGGCACATTCTTCCGTGACACGTCGATCAGTTTCATCGGCGATGGCGCCACTGGACCCCGCTGGTGAAGGGCCAACTCCTTCATCTGTACCCGATAAGCGAAACCGATTCAATTATATTAAGACCGTGCCAAATCTGCATTATACAATAAGGCGTAGTTCACGTAGCAGCAGTAATGATCAAATATGATATGAAATGCGCTATAGTCAGAAAAGTTCCTCACCCTTGGACTTTGAGGTAGTTCGATGGTCAAGTCGCGTGCTAACAGACGTGCTTGTCGTACCAGCCATTGCAGATGGAACAATGGCCGAACTCCTGCTTAGATTGTTGCTGCTGACAACCCTTGCCGAGCCAACAACTGTTGGTAGAATACCTCCGTTTGTTGACACAGGTGCTGTTGACATTGCAGCCGTTGTAACGGCATTTCTTACTGACGAACTCCAGCATGATGGCGCTGGAGATGATGATGCTAGAGTTGATGATGAGGCTAATGAAGAACAAATTGCTGCAATGGAGTCCGAAGCATTCGTCGCTTCTGCCGTTGATGTAACGTTGACTGATCGTTGGCTCAATGTAGAGGCGGTCTGACACTTCGTTTGCGTCGGCGCGCTAGGTGAAGTCGTGGCAACTGCGACTGTTGTCGCCTGCTGTGTTGTCGTTGATGGCGCTGCTTCTGTTTTTAACGAAAATGATACTGACGATGATAAAGATGATGAGTGGCTTAATGAGACTTCTGGTTGAAAATTGACGGAGACGGTAGCACTGGGACCCCCCCTGGCAGTGGCATCTGCCGGGGTCCCCCCACGACTAATGCTATTACTCCCTGCCGTTGTTTGCACTATGGCTATCTTTCCAGTTGCTGGTGTAGGTGTCGTTGGTGTTAACGTAGTTACATGTGTTGTAGATAATGCAGAAGGTTTAGCTGCTGCAGATGACGGAATTGCTTTCGTCGTTGATGTTGTTGCTGTTACACTTGCTGGTGCTGCTGTGGGCAAACTTCTATTCGTCGCAATCGCACTCGAGCCGTTCAGCAACTGAAAACCTTTTGAGGCAACAAGCGCTGCTGTTGCTGCCGTTCCAGTTTTTTCCGCGACTATCCCGTTCGAGATGACAGCTCCTTGCGCTGCTGTCGCCGCCAACGAAAAGGTTGTTCCCGCACCTGCTGATACAACGCTGACGCCACCTGTACTAGTAACGCCAATGCCCACGCCGACTGTACCAGCACTGGCAGCAACAGCGGCTGTTGCACCTCCAGAAACGCCTCCGCTTCCCTGTACAATAGCTTGTACGCTGCTGCCTTGGTGTGGCGCAGCCGCCAGCCGCAGGAGGCCGTTGCTGGGTTGCTCGGAGCCCGACAGGCGTGTCTTCTCTCGGCCTGGCCCGCTCATAGGAACGCGCAGGCAGGCGGGAGCTGTGACACTGCCCATGGCCACCACGCCGGAGCCGGTTACGACGTGGCGTGCGCCATGGCTAAGCGGCGCAATTGTCTGCTGCTGGAACCCTCTCTGTGACAACGGCACCGTCCCCGCCACTGCCGCCGACCCAGGCGTCGGCTGGCTAGTGGGCGAAGCTGCCCCGTCAAGGGGCTCGCCTCCCGTGGCGTTTGGAGGCACCACTCTGGCTGGGGCGCCCCCCTGGCCGCCCCCCTGACCGCCCGGGAGTCTCCGGTGCGACGTTGACGAGCAGACGACCCTGCGGAGGCCGTTCAGCTTGGTGTCGATAGCAACAGCACGATCTCCACGAGTGGCTGCTACCACAACGAACTTTTGCTGCTGCTGCTGCTGCTGCTGCTGGCGTACGGTACAGCACGCAGTCGATCTCTTCAACTGATGTAACTGTCGTTGTTGTTGCTGTTGCAATTGGAGCTGTTTTCGCTGCTCGAGTGCGGTAATAGAACCGGCTATGCCAGCACTACCCGGTTGCTGGTTAGAAACCGGTGACTTCTGAAGCTTGTTGACGGCCACGATGCTAGCTGGTTGCGCGTTCTGGACGGGAGGCAATGGGTAGACGATAGCGGACGTTGTCCGACTACTACCTACAACAGTATTGTTTTCACTCGCCGTAACCGGAACTGAATGCGAAGCCGAACACTGTATCGAATCGGAGCTGCAAGCGACCCTCCCGCAGCGGCTCAATCCTTCTGACGGTGTAGGTGCCGATGAAAGACCTACCACTGCAGCCGCGGTAACAGCGGCTGCTACCGATCTCGGCGCTGCTGCAGCTGCTGAACGGGATATTACGGCGCTGGACGGCGAAGTTCGATAGTTCAGGCCAGACAGCATACATCGGAATGCCATGCAGTGAATAGCCACACTTGGGTATAATGGAGTAGTTGTTGTTGAAGTTCCAACACGCTCGACGATCAGACGATGCCTTTGTATTGTTGTCGATGTTTTAGTTGTAGTGGTTGGGGTAATTTGGAAGAGTGCACCACTACGTAAGTATAACGTAGCAATTTTCGTAGTGCAGTAGGAATAGGCACAAAAGGCGCCGCAATGGCCTCTTACGGCTTCTGCATAATAAATGTGCAGGTGGCGTTGCTGGACTGTCGCTGCAGTATTCGGCAACCACAGCCGCCACGACGGGATCTACCCCTTGTGGTGAAAGCCATCGGTTCAATTACTAGGCTGTTGGCTGGCACAACATCACTATGACGCCGCAACTGATCGTGATGATAATGGACTGTTACAAAATACCAAAATGAAATTCTGTTAGTCAGCCATCATATAGGCACAAGTACCCAATATAGAACTAGGATTCGTAATTTCTTTTTGTTACCACTAGGTCTGTACAAATAAATTTTAAGTTACACTTTGAACTACAGAAACTCAAGTATAAGCGTTCAGTCTGGTACGTGGTTAAGTCAGTTTACGGCACAGTACAACGTACCAGCACAGACACGAGCAGGAGAAATACTGCCAGCATTAAAAGCCAGACTAAATGCAAAATAGAAATAACATATGCACTAAGCCCCGCAATCACGTTGTGTTTTACACCAGTGCTCTTGCTGCTAACAATCGCTCGCCACAGTGTGTTTCATTCATCTACTTTTTTTTAATGATTTTATTTTTTATTTTTATTATGTTATGAATTTGTATTTTAATGAAAAGTTACATCTACTATGAATTTTATTCAAAGCACGCATTGCACATATCGCTTATTCACCCTTTTTTTTTCACTCGTTTTGTAAGTCCGCTTGTTTTCTTTAACTCTAGACCACGTGTATCTAGCGGCAGCCGTCAAAAAGTAAATTCCCAGTGGTCCAAAGCAATTCATCATCATTTTAAAGCAGCAGTACCACCTCTGACCGATGGCGGTATCGACAAGCACGCTGTTGCATGCGTACATGTATTGGCATGCAGTGTTACCTTATTTTATTTTCACCGTCTACCAGCGCTACATAACCATAACAACGGTAGCAGTACAATTATTCGCCGTTGTTGTTTTCATAGTTGTCTACAATGACGGTGCAGCCCACTAGATCAAGCCCGTACACTCAATATGCCGCTAAAGGGTAGTCCACGAATGATAGAACTGTGTTTTGAATATAAGTAGAATGACAAGTCTAAGGCGTAACGACCCAATGAACAATCATTTCATGGACCGCAAACGTCACTCTATAGAATAAAGTTTTCCAGCATCCTTATCAGAAAACCGTTCACACATTCACGCCATGACACGCCGTTAGCAAATACAAAACGGAATGACAGAGAGGACTTCGGTGCATAGGTCCCTAAAAACGGCTTTTCATAAAAGCCTAAACTATAGTACGATAAATTCTACAGATGTTTGGAAGAGGGTCGCGAAATCTGCACACAGGCGACCGAATACAAACACGTAAAACTTCTATCAAACAAAAAAGCGATTCTACTAATACTAGTAGTAGTAGTAGCAACAATAGATAATTTACGTAGTTTTTACATTACTGCTTGAAAACCCATTCTTCGTTCTACTTTCTGGGTTTGTTTACGTACTTTGGTTTCAACAGCACGCATTCTAGATGACACTACACACAATAGATCAATAATGCCACCTGGAAAGTTTTCCCACAGAAAGACTTTCTCCCACAGGAGAACTTGTCTATCTGTCAAACAATGTATTTGGTATGCAGCTAATTAGGGCAGATATGTTGAACTAATTAATACAGCGTCGAACACCATAAGCACACCAGCTTGTTCCATGGAGCACACTTTCAAGGGTCCTAAAACTATTTGTTAACGTCCTGAATCGTGCTCCTTCCGATCGCTTCTCAAAACGAATATCTGTTTGAAATCGATGCGTTTTGGCAGCTGCATAAACCATGGAAACGTGGTCTCTGCACGTTTGTTCAGCTAAATATAAGAGTCATCTGTATGTGCAGGTAAGAACAATTGCTATTAAATAATATTAACTGCTTTCGAAGGAAAATATATAGCCATGGTTATCACATAATTGTACATTTTGGCCGCGCATATACACTGGTACCCTATTCGTTCGTCATTAAGCATTTTACCAAAAGAATGTCAATAGGTTCCCTACGCATGCACCGTATTGACCATACGCAAATACAACTAGGCTATATAGGGTCGTTTTAGGTATTCAACAAAAGAAATCACTAATTATTCCCTAAAAACAGTATGTAATTGTAATAAAATTGAGCCAGGATGTCTGCTACAATATCTTTCAGTTTGCGTGTTATTGTGGTACAAACGGGCCGACCTAATCTCGCCAGTGGCTCATTTCTACCATCCGAAAAGGACCGTTATAAGATGAAAATCTGAAGCTTTATGATAGCCTCTCAATTCAAGCATTTGCTTATTCAATCTCCCACAAATCCCCCCGTTCGCCATTTTCCCTAATTACGATAAATAGCAGTCCATAAGATTCGATGCGTTACGCCTTCCATTCATGAGCTTACGACAAGAAATATTATAGGAACTGAGAGCGAAGCGGATAATTAAATATTCTATTTGTTTAAATATTTTCTTTTATTTATATCATTATTTATTTACTATGTTTTTATCGTATTTTCCCTACGACTGTTATTAAAGTAACTCGACGCTGTATGTACACCAAACCTCCTGTAATTATCGACGGAGGGTTAAATACCGATAAAATGTGATAATAAATGGATGCCCGAATTAGACGTATTTAACAAACGGATACAAACACAGAATTTCAGTGGAAGAGTTTAAATATAATGCTACAATGTGTATTCTATGGAAAGCAATAATTAAGACTCAGACCATTAAAACGAAAATTATGAATTGTGTGCTTGTGCATCGATTATTTGTCTAAAACTACCTGTCAAAGTTTATAAAGACCTTCAAACAAGATTACTGAAACCAGAGTGAAGTAAAAACATACTGTACATCGAGTGACTTTGAAAGTGATCGACGCTTATTTTAATATAATAAAATTATGTTATTAATGAATACTTAATGAAATCTAGCTTGCTTATGGTATCTACCGCCAGTGTACAGCGGAGCTTAACGGAGTACTAAGTTTAACGAAATTTGGATTAGCGTAGATCTCGACTAACCAAATTGGTTTCTGCAGCACCAAAGTGAGGTTTTCGAATTTACAGTCCTTCTAAAATGAGTTCTGCTGGTCAACAATAAGCTCTAACCGTCTCATGAATAAGTCTTAATGAATCTATAGACAGCAACTGAATTAGCCCCAACACAGTATTTATATTATCGTTCTTTTTTATTTTTATATTTTATCTATTTTATTTTATATATATTATATTAATGTTTCGTTACACTCGAAAGGAGATTCTTCGTTTTCAAATCTAATTCACCTGTAAAGCACAGTGGCGTGTTAAGAGTTGAAATTAAGGGTTGCCCACAATTTTTAATGCAATATTCCCACAGAACAGCGTTTCATTGGAAGTGTAATTGTTTCCTTTTCCCAGCTATTACTGGCAGGTGTCAACGAAGCGCGACAGAATGGCATTGCAGAGTCACATGTTGCAGAATAGTCATCTTTAGAAGTGGCTTTAAATTGCACAATGTGTAATCACAACTTGGCCTGCAGCAAAAACAAGGCTCATAAGCAAAAGACATCAATGATGTTTTTTTTTAGAAACCCTGCGTCAAAGAAATTGTTTTTTGACTATAGTTGCTGCATAACAAAATACATTTTACAATTTAAGACGTCGGCCAGAGTTCCAAAACAGATCTGCCTTATACAACAGGCTGTTTGAGTCAAATTCAATTTACATTGCCTTTATTAATCGTACTGTCCCTCTATATTTTACAAAAGCTTTATTCGGGGCAGCGACGGCCGTAAATAGTCACGTATCTCTCAGTAACAATGTTAGCTTAGAAAGTAAATCGCTTCTTTAAATAGAAACCAAATCTATGACATTTTACTTCTGACAGGTCAAACAAATTGCAATTTTTTGTTTGCGGCTTCCTCTTATGAACAAGGAAGATCTAGCCTATGCCCATCATAACAATAATTCCCTACTCAAACAGCAAAATTAAGGCATTGTACTCCTGCGGGTTGGTTAACATTCAACTGAGCTCTTACATATCTATTATCGTTAGTGCATCAGGATGGCAGCATCGATAGCAACTACACTTACTCGCCGCTCTTCCTCGTATAGCATATTCTGCCAGCTACGTGACGATCACGAGCTCTGGTTGCGGCAGCAGCTTTAAGGCTGAAGAAAACTACAGTATTATAAGCATCGGGACACAAACGGTCAGCAAGGTCCTTTGCCTTTATTCGCAATTCATCATCCGCGTATGACTGCAGCGGCAACTGGCGACAATTTCTGGCAAGTCAGCTAGCGAGCGGATGTTACACCATAACTTGATTGAGGAAACCACGGCGCGTTGCTGCTGCTATAAGAAATACATACATCGGCAGCAGAAGTTCTAGTATTAAGATGCGCTTCTCCTAGATATACATCGAAACTACTGGTAGGGCTCTGTTGATAAATCAAGAGATATCACAGAGAAGACCTGGTCGCCGGCGTGGACGCCATGCGCCGGGCCGTGTCGTCTGTAGTGTCGGCTGGTTGATTGGTCTGACGGCCGCCCAGTCTCTCTTTCCGTGGGTGTGTCAGCTTGTCCACTCGTAGTCTCCTCGCGCCTAGCCCGCCAGCGCTGCCATTGCTACGAGCTGACTTTCCTTATTTATTCGTTCGCTTGCTCCAACTGGCGGTACCAGCAGCAGCATCAAGTACCTGCAAACAAAACCACAGCTAGCCCCTTCACCAGCATGGCCGCAACGCGATGAGCACACTACCGTTGCTGGTGTTGCCACGGTGGCTGCTGCTCGTCGTAGCGATGGCGCCAGCGGCAACACCGACAGAAGCGATGGTTCCTGGGTCTTTTGTGACTCTGCTACTATGTTGGAGACTGCTACTTGTGAGCGGAGATGTTGGAAATTAGCAGACAGTCTGCGTGCGCTGGTTGGCGCTGCAAGATTGTTGTATACAGCAGCAACTGCCGGCACCGGCACCGGCGCCGGGCCGCCGCCGCCGTAAGCGTCGCTGCTACTGCCGCGCCTGATCGTTCACTCCGTTTTCTACCGCTGTAATGCCGTGGCTCAACCGCTCGCCAGTTGCCTAGGCAAGTAAAACAAATCATCCGTTTACTTGTCGCGCTGGTTTGTTCGTACACTCTGCGAGCGGTCAATAGGAAGACACAGGCAACGAACTGCCGCGTCTTTTCTTCTCTCAAACACAG